GAAATAGATGTCCCAAATAATTTTTCAGAAGAAACTTGAGGATAAGCATGGAAAATCAAAAGTGGTGTCCAATTCATTTTCTAATTAATAAAACTTAAAACCTTTTTAATTGAATTCTTAAATTAATTTTAAAGAAAATTTAAGGGATTTTAGAGTTATTTAATTGAAAATTAATTGACTTAAAGATATCATTGGAAAATGAAAATGTTACAATCACAATTGATTAAGAGTTTTATGACCTTTTTAGGATTACAAGAGGATAATTAAGGAAAAGGTTAGGTTCTTAAAAAATAATAATAATTTGACCATGAAGTTATTTTGTATTTTTTTATCATTACATTTTTATAATCTCGTTATAAAATCAGGAAGTCCCACATAAGAGCTATTAATATTATTTGAGTCTCGGTTGGGAATGAAATTATTTCAAAGCAAATAATAGGCAAGTTTCTGGGAATTGATACGATAAAAATTTACGTGATTTTTTAATTTAATTATCATATTTTCTTCCCTATTTATCATGATTTTATACTTCTGAAAAGTTTTTGGGTGGCATTTTCTCGGTTACATGGGTAGAATATACGTTACAAAGCTAAAACACAAAGCAAGCAAATTGTTGGTCTGGCTTATGTCATTATGGGGCATAATTACGCCAGTCTCTCTCTGTCTCAGGTAAAACTATGTTAGGATAAGATGTAATTATACTGGCTTGCAATGTAATTATGTCAACTGCATGCATAGTTATGTTGTTGATAATTGAAGGCTTATTTTGGCAAGAACTATATAATGAGATTCACTGGAATGCTCTAAGGAAGCTTCAAAGCACTTGAGAGATTTCTTTTAACAAAAATTTGGGTTTCTTTGTCAAACGCTTGAGTTTCTCTTCCTCCTTCTTTGTGGAGCAACTCCTAAGATTAGGATTCCTTTGAGATTAAAGAGGTCGTGTATGAGAGACATGGAGTGATGTTGTTTGAAGAAGATCGAGGAGAGCGTTTCATTATAGGGTGAAAACTTGGTGTATTGCGCAAAATACATTGCTTATTTTTAAGTTTATGTACGTTCTTACATTTATATATTTAATATTTGTAATGAAATTTTCATATTTTTCTACCTCATGTGCCGTAGCTAATATACTTTCATGCTCCTTTGATGTAGGGAA